GAGGGATGGACCGACAAACAGCTGTCGTCAACGCGAACAAATACACAGATGACGGAGCGAAGCTCACAGTGAGTGTAGTGTTGTGTATACCATTTAGAATTGGAAATGTAATTTAGAATTAGAATGTAAAAATACTATGTATATGTACATTAATCAGTTAATCGTGGGCATTCAATTATGTTACATCGATCGTTACGCCGATCAGAGAGCTTTTCATTTTCGCTTCTATTTTCCATCTTCTCTTTTTCTCCGTTTCTTCCTTTCTTTCTTCTTTATTTTCTTTCGTTTTTTGATTTTTGTTGTACTCGGAGAAGCAGCGCCGAGAAATTTCCGTCGACCGCGGGTGCTAATCATTTGTTTGTGTTTTTTTTTTTTTTTCTCGTAATAGTTCTCATTTCGCATTAACACACGGTATGTTACACATGTCGAAGAACAACATCGATCGGTTGGCACATAAAACGGAAGCAACACTTAGACCAGTCGCAGCGATAATAGTTACGTACAAATTTGAAAGGGAAGGAAGAGTACAACTCGTACTTTCGTTTCGATTATTGGCGCAACCCTCGGCACAAAGGGATAAAAATTATCTCCTACGCGTGAAAAAGTAGATTAGTAGAGCCCGGTTCGTAATAAAAAATTGTCGTAAAAGACCGTCGTAAAAAACATGGCGCGACGCAAAGACGGTGGAACACTGGCGATATCAATTTTGGAACGGATACAATTTTTTGTAATGTCTCTCGTGCATTATTCGCATACTCGTCCTGATGCGTTTCTTCTTCGTTTTCCTTTTTTTGTATTTCGTCATCGATTCGCGATACTCGCGTTTTTTATCATTTCGTCGCATTTTTTAGAAACAATTGTGCTGTCGTTAATCTCTATTTATCATCGATAATTATATCATCGCGATAAAAAGAACGATATATAAAGTGAATATACATCTAGTATACAAAAGCTCTCTCGATTCGTTTTTTTTCTTTTTTTTTTTTCGTAGTTTGATATAATTCGTTCAAATATTTTCATTTCTTTCATTCCTTTCGTGTCTATCTAAGTGCTATGTACATTATACGTTTATATATTTATATATATACATGTAAAACGATTAATTGATTCTTTTCCATATCCTTAATGATTGTATAATTAGGATTGACTATGTCTTAGAGTAATCAACGAAATTACAAGTGTTATCATTATTATTATGTAAAATATCAAATATCATACGTGTTAGATGGTATGTCCATCTCCAAGGTACCATTTTGGACGAATAGCGGTCCGTCTAACATGCCTAGCACTTTGATGAGCAAATACTTTGGAGATTACATAAATCTAATAATAATCTTCAGGTAATATTAAGTATAGATGATTTGTTTTTTTTTTTTAATTACAAATATAAAACATGTATATGTAAATAGAACTCTTATTATGCGCGAACATGTTCATCTCTAATTGAGCATACGTGAATTTCTTATCATCAGTCTAAGCCGAACTGTACGGCTCCATATACAACGGCGGTTTAACAATACATTCTCTCTCTTTCTCTATCTCTTCTTCTCTTCCTCTTTTTTTTTCTTCTTTTTTTTCTCTCCTCCTCTCTCTTTTTTCGTCTTATAAGCTTCGTAGAATCTATTGTGTTAACAAATAATCGCTGTAATGAGAAACAACAATATATATGCGTACGCTACGAAAAACGTTATTCATAAAACTTTCAAACAATCTCTCCGCGATGAGCGATGTGACGCACGTGACCGTCCGGGCGGATAAAGTATAATTGTTTCCTACAAACAATTCCTCACCGTCCGTGGTGAGATGTGAAAGATGCCGGAAGATCTCTTTTCCCATCGCTCCTTTTTTTTTTCTTTCTTCTTCCCTTTCTTTTGCGATCCCTGGTTAAGAACACCATTGTAGGGAGACCTCATCGCGCCGACGAGTAGACAGGATTTCGCGCGGGAACGAACAATGGAATTTTATATATATATATATATATATTTATGTAAGCGAAAATGATAACAATTATTATAATTATCGTAAATCGTCGCGAGCTGCTATCATCGGCGACAATGATGTTCTCCCAATCGAAAGACTCGCGATGTCTTCGGGACTTACACCTCTCATTGTCACAGCCCTTTACCGCCGGAACGCAAATGCATCGTGCGTTACATGGCTCCCTTGTGGCAATATATATCCCTCCCCCTCTTACGATAGGCCAAACGCATCGAGTTTCGTCGTCGTCATCATCATTTTTTTTTTTTTCAAAAATATATATACGCTGACTACTTAGGCTTTCGACGAAGAACGGAAAAAACGCTGTCTCGTCCAATCAACGGGAATTTAATTTCTTCCTCCTTGCGCGGATATACAGCATTATTACCTTCTCTAAGCAATACTTCGTTTATAGCCTAGGTAATAGTGAAGACCCTCATATGATCCATTTGAATTACTTGATTTTTTCTCGGCTTTTTTTTTTAATTTTTTCCCTCTCTCTCTCAACCGCGTGAAACACTGAGACGTTATCGCACACTATTTACATTAGTTTTAATCATAATTAGTAATTGGAAATAAATGCAAAAATATATGTATATGTGTCGAACATTTAGCTAATAATACGAGCATCCGCGATAATCATGCATGACGCGAATATCTCCCTCGCGCTGTCGGTAGAGTATCTTTATACCCTTAACTAAAATCATGTAGCAATTTAAACTTATGTACTATTGTCTTTGTTCGAGATATCACTACGCCAAGACATTCACTGGGATGGCTCCCCATTCTTTTTGTTCCTCCTTGAAGAATCCCATTCTCTCGTCTCGTGTATCTTCATCTCGTGTAACAATTGAATCGCGAGTTTGAGACCGAAATTGCGATGTCGACGACTCGAATGAGTCTGCACCGGTCGTGTACCTTGATATCGTATTCTGGTTTTTCGATTCATACTTTTAACGCACTTTTAAACGCATTCCTGCCCAGATAGCACAGGACATTCTATGGACATTCATTTTATGTCCATTTTACGTCCGCACGTCCATAGACATGAATGACCGTTCATCGTACATTCGATTCGGGACATCCGCTAACGGCCAATATTTGGACCACAAAATGTCCGATCTTGGACGTCAAGGACTTTCGCGCGAGCACGCAAGGATGTGTTATTTAAGTTTTAGTTATGAGAATTATATAAAGTTTGCGAAAAGTAACAAATAAGATTAAAAATATACTGTTCAATTTAATTTCTAATCTCAATGCAAGAGTTTCAGATATTAAATTGATTTTATAAGTCGGACAAATAAATGTCGGCCAATAAACGACAATAATCCGTTCATTATCTATTTAAAATGTAAAGTGTAATATGCGAGTATAAATTATAAATAAAATTTTTATGTAAAATTTTATAATTGAATAGATAAAATTTTATATATTGAAATAGATAAATTATATTATTATTTAGGGATTAAAGCATGTCCATCAATTTCAAACAGATATACCACGTTCGCTGAATGTCCGAAGAACGTAAAACGGATTATCTGTGGATATCCTCAATATCCTTAATGATCATCTTATGGATGTCCTTCGGATATTTCTGTGCTGTCTGGGTGAAAACGCAAACTCGACTCGTTCTCGTGACGAGAAACTTGGACCTCTCATTATCTCGGTTGGTTGGAGTCATCAGTAAACACAAATCCCAGACAGCACAAAAAAAGGCCAAAAAATGTCTAAAGGATTTAAGACGTCTTCAAGTCGTCTTTTAGATGTCTTTTGGACATGTGTGCTGTCTGGGATGTACGTAGGTTTTTAATGAGCGATTAACATCGTAAAAATCGGCGTGATACGGCGAATGGCCGTTTAATATACATTTTACATGTGTTTATGTATATTATGTGTATGTGTGTGTGTTTAAGAAGATAAAAATATTTATCAACATGTATACGCGGTCAATGGACTATCTATAGTATTGACTTTAGGATCGGCAGTGAAAACTCTGTTTTCTACGTACGATACGTGTCGGATTGATTTTTCATTTTGTAAGAATTACTCGCAAAAGACAAGAATCGCAGCGCAACTGTATAATACACATAAGCAAGGCAAGTAACTTCAACATAAGTAAATGAACAACTCGTAAGTGCGAATTATGATATGCAAATTACACTATGCTAATAACGTATTCGAGAGGTTGCGGTTCATTTTCTAGAAATAACGGATCAGTAAAGTTCTCAGCATGCCTTAGGTTTCCGTGTAAGTCTTTTTTTCTACGCGATATACAGAATAGTCTGAAGTCAATTTAAAGAGTCCAAGTGTCAAGAGGAATATAAAAGTCGAATATAAAAAGGAACGTTCTTAACGAGTCGTAAGTTAAAAAAATATTTCAAAATTTTCGTGCGCTCTCTATAATTCAATGTGATTCAGGGATATATTAACTATAATGTATAATATAATTCTCTTTTGTTACAATTGACTTCAGGCTCATCTACCTGTTCTCGCAGGGATCGCAAGATCCTGAATGCCCTCGTAAAACGCAAAATGATGGACTCGGATTTTCTTGCCGTTTAGTGATAAAAATGGCTATATCCTGGCATTAGATGGTGTTTCACCAATGGAATGGAAATGTCGAGATTCGAGATCAAACCGCCGCACATTTAACGCTAAATTTGACTATCTAGTACCGTGGATTGTGTGTTCGAAGAGACGCCGTTAACTCAAATAGGATCATAAACGACACGGATGGAGGACGGGAGGGGAAAGAAAGTTTAATCTCGCCGCGTTTCTTTCGATTTTCCAAGCGTTCCTCTTTGTAATAACGATTGTCTCGTTTCCCTCAACATCGAATCGTCGGGATAAACCGACTTATCGACGCGAAAGTAAACAATGGACGGTCATGACGGATATGCCACTCTTGCGTAGCTGTGAGTTCTAAAGGGGCAATATTGTGCGGTCATTAATTAACATTGCTATCACTATTTCGAAAATCAATATCAGTGATTGTGCGTGATAATCATAAGTATGAAAAAACTCGTATCAATACCTTGGAACTGGAATAACCAATTCAGCCTATAAATTGGAAGACAGATGGATAAACTTATATAAATGTAAAGGAGGGATATTGCAAATTCTAAAAATAGGACTTGCAAGTTAAAAATTGAAAGAGAAAAATAACATTTTGCATGTAAAATACAGTATAAATGCTACTCAGCATTATTTTATAATATTTTCCTATAATGCTTAATGCTATATTAACACGATTTTTCTATTGATAATTTAATAACAAATTTAATCTATACTTTTCCTTATAATATGAGATCAATCAAATATTTCGAAATTTTCGTCCTTCCAACTTTAAGCTATGGAATGGGGTTAGCTATTCTAGTACCAAGGAAAACGGATGTAAATCCGTTTGATATTTATACTGACAATAATAATATCAGTGTTGATCGTGAAGATCTGTGATTTCAGATTTAGAATTATTTCAGCGTCAATCACACGTTCGGAGTGAAGAAAATCACTTTTCGGGTGACATTTCAAAGATGTCTCGCGAATTTCTCGACTGTCGTTGATACCTGCATAGTGATATCTAAACATAATTGTTACGATAAATATATACTGACATGAAGTAACCAAAGAACGAAATTATTGCCGCGAGTATTTTTTCATCTATCTTTCTGATTACGTGTGTATTTACAGAAAATATACTTTCCTCGATAAAATCGGTATATCGATTTGGAGCTTCGATCGTAAGCATTGATTACGCTATGATCGCTGTGTTAGCGGATATCAACTAACGCTAAGGCGAGCAGACAAAGACAATGAGTTAGAGTACCCAGACAGCACGAAAAGGCCAAAAGATGTCTTGAAGATGTCTAAAGGACTTTAAGACGTCTTTAAGTCGTCTTTTAGATGTCTTTTGGACATGTCTGCTGTCTGGGAGAAATGGTAAAGTTGGGGGAAGAGGCAGAATAGCGGAAATGGAACAGTAAAATCATCCTTCGAGGTTTTTTTGGAGTACGCTCACGCGTGCTAGCGTGATCGTTCTCTCTTTCTCTAGGATCGCCATCGCTCATTCGATTATACATATATTCCTAAGATTAGAATTCAATCGCATAGGAGAGCCCCGCGCATGTCTCCTCTCATCTAGAAAGTAGCCGCATGGAAGGGAAAGGCGTGTTTACAGCATGTTTATCTGGTGCACCGTTCTCGTCTCTCAGTATCCTTTTCATTCTCTCCCTTTCTGTCTTTTTCTATTTACACACTTTCGTTCTCGTGCACCAAACAGAGTCCTCGGAGATTGTTTAGATGCATGATGATGAGTGCTGTAGGATCTTCAAGCCGTGATGCCGTCGTTCGCGAACCTGCTCGTCGTCGCTCAGGGAGATGATCGGTGACGATTTCAACGATGCGAATGATTTAGAAGAGGATCCGTCATCACGACACTCCGCGTCGTTCAAAGACGCGTGCTCCTCTCCGTGACCGCGACCGGTCGACAATCCTCGTCGTCGTCCTGGGCGACGGCGCGGTATTTGCCGCGCACCGAGCTGGGCCCGAAGATTGGTGAGCCTCAGACAAGATGGCCATCGATGTCGGAATAACTCGGTGTTGCCGCGAACGTTGACAGCGGGTGGCTCTGGCAGGGCGGTGGCGGGGGGGCCGGGTGCGAATGCGGGTGCGAATGGGACCCACCGTTGGCGCCGACCCGGGCGAACGTGGCCGGTGGCGGCGGTACTGACGGCGGTATCGGCGACTTGGTGCCCGCGGTCATCACGGTAACGTCGGGCGGAGGTACAGGACGCGGCAGCGTCCTGGTGCGCGTCAGGGTGCCAGTACCAGCACCCACCAAGTGCCCGCCCATTATATGACCAGTCGAGCCCATCGACGTGGGGTAGTAAGGCCCGCCAGATGGATCGCCGATGACGGGAGGCGCCGGACTCGGATTGCTGTCGTAGCTTATGTAGCCCCGACCGCCGTTGTCCATCTCCACGCTGTAGAAGCTCACATCATTGGGCGGCGCCGGGCTCGGATTACCGATGTAACTCGACTTTGACACTGTAACATTCGTACAGATGGTAATATAAATAATGTACAATACAAACGTTAGAAAGATATTAAACATAAGAGGTAGTTAGAATTTTATACAGTCAGTGTTTGCTTATCTAGGTAAAATTATCTAGATAATCATCTAGATAAAAAATGGATCATCTTTATCTTTAACTAGATGAAGAAATACAAAGTATCTTTATCTTTATCTTATATGAAAAATATATGTCATCTTATTTAAAAATTGTCTAAGATGACGTTTTCATTATGCAAAAAAGTTTTCCAGGCAAGCTTCTAAAAATCTATCTAAAATATCTAAAATATATTTTTTATATTATTATTATTAATATATTATAAATATATTATAAATATAAATTAATAAATAAACATTTATCATATCATTTATATACCTTTTTGCTATTATTTAAATATTCTTTAGGAAAAGAGAAAGAATATGTGTTAATGATTTTAATATCCCATTTATAATCTGCGTCACATTTTTTACAAATATTTATAGTCTTCTAAAATAAACAAAAATATCTAGATAATTATCACAATAATTATCTCATCTTTCATGTAGATTAAGTAAAAGCAAAATCATCTTTATCTCATCTAACAAGGAAAGGGTCGGAAGTGTCCCCCTCCGATTTTAATGAGCTTTGAATATGTTGTAGTCTAGATCAAAATAGGAGACACGTATTTTTTTATAAGTGCTGAGTCGGCCGTTAAGGGGGTGAAACACCTTCTTGAAAAAAATCGATTTTTTCATTTCTCAGCGGATACCGTCGAAGCGATAAGAGATATAAACAAAAGTTTCAAATAAAAGTTTTATGGTCTTTAATGTACTTCAAAATCATGTAATCAGATTTGTCGAAAATGTCATATTTTTCGAAATCCCCCCCCCTCCCTTTTAATGTTTGAAAATTTTTAAATTTGTCTCATAACAAAACTTATAGCTCATTTAACGACAAATTCAATCATATATAATAAAGTTGTATTCCGAAGTCACATTTTTCAGAAATAAATTAAAAATATCCCTATACACTACTATACGCCCGCTTTATCCGCCTTATGACGCTCGTTATTCACAGCGACAGTCATTTTTCTTCGCAAACTCACAGAGGCAACCATAAATTAGCAATAAATAATTTATGAGAATATATTTTTATAAATTATAGAAATTATATTTATAAATATAATTATAAATTATATAATAATTATAATTATAATATATGTCTATATTATGTGACAATAAATATACATATAATTTATATGGAAAAGTAATGTTTTTAATGCATGAAAAATAAAACTAGTCGGACAAGGAAAATTATTGATCAGATGCCGATGTTAATAGATTCAATTCTATGAATAAACAGATGTCGCATTCGCGAAATGAGTTGGTGCAATATATTATTTTATTAACAACTGCGTGCAGTGGAACACATATTACTATTAAAGCGTCTATCGAATATACGCGAGCGCGATAGTAAATATATTTATATATATAAGAAAATAATTAAAAGGATTATAACTTATAAAGCGAGCGAAAAAATGCGTCGCGATAAGAAAGTCAGCTGCCCGAAGTGCTGATACAGCCAGTATCACACGGCCAAGTCATCAAACAGAGGAAGAAATCACTCTCGAAATAGCGCTGAATTGCAATAAAATGCGAGGAAGTCTTCGGACTTCCTTCGCTTGCATTTTGATCACGCCACTTTAGAAATAACCAATGATTTTATTTGGTCATGCCACCGCGCGATCCTCCTCCGATAATCGTTCAGAACCGGAGGCGTTAAAAGCCACCGCCTAGAAGCGGCGGACAGTCACAAATCAGTTATCAAATAATTAACAAGTGCTCGAGTTAATTAACAAGACTAGCCGTTATCCTGAAAAAACAATTGTGCCCCACGCACACAACAATACAGTATGTATGTACTTTTTCGATTTTTAAAACTTTTATAGTTTTTTGCTTTTACTTACACTTCATTCAAAATTGCGGTTTATCTGTTTTGTTTTAATGTATTTAAATTATAATTAATATTTTATTACTTTATTTAAGTTATGTGATAAAACTGTTCTATTTTTCATGAAACTCGGAAAACGTAACAAATTATTAATACGCATTAAATAATAAAATATTTTTGTTGCTAATAAGTATTTTTTTGCTAATATTTATAAAACAAATATACATAATGTTAATAATTTTTTTAGATAATGTTTAATCCAAGAAATGTAGCAGTACTGCTATACACTGCACTGTATATGACTGGGGAATTCCCAGAAAGTCCTGTTACAACAGATGAAAATGAAACAAAAGACATGATGGAAAATATGCTTCGATCAATGTATGAAGAAGCGTTTGAAGTTTATGAAGAATCATCATTAGATTTTCAAAAACGAATTTGATATACCTGAAGTAGAACCTGTAATTGATGAAGAAAGAGAAGAAGACACATATTTTGTAAAAGAAATTGAATGTGTTGCGGATTCTGTACCAATAGAATATAAAAGAAATGCAGTAGAGTTATGGAGAAGTGGAACAAAAAAGTCAAGAACTCTTGCATCTATAAGAAATAGATTTCGGAAAGTCACGTCATTACGTCAATTAAGAAGATGGGAGCAGCAAGTAAATCAAGGTGGCAACAGATTTGATAAACTGAAAGAAATTTCAACATATACGTTAAATAAATTCCATGAAGGTATTGAAAAGGGAATAATTATTCATGACATTGATATTGCTCGATGGGCTCTTCGCGCACAGAAGGAAGTAAATCTACTTGGGTTTACAGCATCATTATCATGGGTAAAAAGGTTTAAGCTTGCACATAATATCGTATCTAGAAAAATTACAAAATTTATAACAAAAAAAAATTTAGCGTCAGACAAAGATTTAGAAGCACGAAGCAAGTCATTTATCGAAAATGTTAAATCTTCTATTATACAATATGGAATTGAAAATGTATATAATTCGGACCAAAGTGGATTTCAATTAGAATTTCATTCCGGTCGTTCACTATCACCTATTGGTATTAAAAAAGTAGAGCGCATAGTACAATCCATATCAGCAACTACACATAGTTATACTATACAACCTATTGTTTCAGCTGATGGTAGATTATTATCGCCTCTGTTTATTGTTTTAAAAGAACCTACTGGAACATTTGGTCCAATAGTAAAAGAAACAATGTTTAAAGATAATAATATCTTTGTCATGGCATCAAAATCTGGAAAATTAACATCGCATCATTTTGAGATCTGGATAAAAGAAGTGTTTTTTCCAAATGTTGGACCAAAATCAGTGTTATTATTAGATTCTTGGACTGGTCATTGTCCTGATATAATTCAAAGAAACAAACCAGATTTTATAGACAATATTAATTTGTTAACTATACCAGCTGGAGCAACGGGAAAAATACAACCTTTAGATGTATTCGGTTTTCGTTTATGGAAAAATTTTGTTAGACATTTTTCAGATACCATCATGCTTTTAGATCTTGACGTCAAGCTTCATTCAAGAAACAATATTTTAAAATTACAATCATTAACACATAATCAATTTTCATCACCAAGGTTTAAAAATTTATTCAAATATGCATGGTATAAAAGTGGTTATTTAGAAAAGAAACCAGAAGAATTTGATACACCAGTAGATTTTTGTTTCAAAACTAATTTAAAACCAACATGTGATATTTGCGGTGAAATTGCTGTAATTTCTTGCGCATGGTGTAAAAAATCCCTTTGTATAAATCATTTCTTTCATGATCATCATCTTTGTAACCGATATCAACCATGAATATTTGTTATTCTTGTATGCAATAATTATGTACGGTATTTTATGTAATATTTCCATATACATATATATAATGACTTCGGAATACAACTTTATTATATATGATTGAATTTGTCGTTAAATGAGCTATAAGTTTTGTTATGAGACAAATTTAAAAATTTTCAAACATTAAAAGGGAGGGGGGGGGATTTCGAAAAATATGACATTTTCGACAAATCTGATTACATGATTTTGAAGTACATTAAAGACCATAAAACTTTTATTTGAAACTTTTGTTTATATCTCTTATCGCTTCGACGGTATCCGCTGAGAAATGAAAAAATCGATTTTTTTCAAGAAGGTGTTTCACCCCCTTAACGGCCGACTCAGCACTTATAAAAAAATACGTGTCTCCTATTTTGATCTAGACTACAACATATTCAAAGCTCATTAAAATCGGAGGGGGACACTTCCGACCCTTTCCTTGTAAGATAAATTTACAGATTTTTATCTTTATCTAGATAATTTTGAAATTATCTACAACAAACACTGTATACAGTATCGATCAACAAGTATCACTTATAGAAAAAGAGAAGTTACATTAATTAATATTACCAAGAACAAAACAAAATATATTAATATTACCAAGTTATATTTTATTGTTATTATTATTTTATGTTTTGATCGTAAATATTATAAATAATAAAAATATTATTAAATTTTTGATTCTTCAAAATAATCTTTAACGTTCAATACTATTGCATTAATCTTGGCATTCTTGATAGTTTTCTTTTATAATTGTTACTGATTTGATTTCAGTATGTTTGCAAGTATTTTCACAGTTATTTTTTATTAATAAAGCTCATTTTTTGGACATTTTTATTTATATCCATAATAGTTCTATTGGATGAAGATCCGGTGATTGAGAGAGTCAGAAACATTATTTTAAAGGACCAAAAATTTAATATTTCTATTCTTATATATTTGTTACAATTTTTAATTTTCATCATATTAAGACATAAAATAACAGTAAAATAAAAGTTAATAATATTTATATGTTTTATTCATTACAATATAACATCTCTGTTTTTATAAGCGATGCAATATTTTTGACCGATTATTGTAGCTAAAGAAATGGCAAAATATTGGCTAAATATTGAAAGATTACTTGTGTGCTATGATATTATTGTGATTTATTAAAATTCAATAATTGCGCGTTTGATTTGACATTTCTTTCCTCTTATACCTCATTTCTTGTCTATCTCAGAAATAAAGAAATTATGCGAATAAATTGAATATCTCGTGAAGTTTCGTATGAAAATATGACGGAGCGTATTTAAAATTATATAACACTGCAAAATATAAACGATATATTTTATCGTGTTTGTGTATCCCTTATTGTTTAAAAAATATAATGTACCTGAGAGAGTCCCGCTAGCGGTAGTTCGCTGGGGCGGCGAGTCCATATTCATGGATGTTTGCATGTGATTGCTGCGACGACCGAGGGTGCCCTGATGAACCTGCATCTCTAAACCGCCTTTCCCGAAATCCTGGATAGTTTGATCTATTAAATACGTGCTAGCTGCGGTCTTCCGTCCTTCGTCCTGTTGAACGACAATTGTTGACTTATGATCTGACAATGAGTCTGATTTCGATTATTCCAAAACGGACTAAATTTGTTCGTCTCAAATTTTTACTTTCGATAAAACCTCTTTACTACCATAAATATTATTTCTAATATATAATATAAAAGTTTAGAATTATCTTTTATATTACATATTATTTTTCTACGTATAATAAATTTTATTATATATAAATCAAACTTATAATGTATACATCTATATGTATTAAATTTAATTTATATTAATAAAATTTATATATATAGAAAAAATATATAATATATATATAGAAAAAATATATAATATATATAAATAAAAAATATAATTTATATATAATAAAATAAATTATATATATGTATTATTTTCTATATATAACTAATTTTAATGCAAGTGTACCTTAAATGTACGTCAATGTTTTATCTTTCATTTCTTACGTTTTACAAGTATTCTTATCTTATATCTAAGATCTTATTTTCGATGAAAGTATGGATAGTGGAGGAATAGTGGCTTATTAACATCTGGCTATCAATTGGTATTTAAAAAAAATCTATTCAATTACAACTCTGAGTAATTAATTAAGTACTAAGAATATTAAAATATTAAGTACTAAGAATATTAAAATATTCACGAGACATATATGCGTTTCATCATGTCAGGGAAAAAAAGGCGCGAGAGATAAACATGAACAATATTGTTAACGTAGATTGCACTGTACTGTAAATCGAAACGACGCGTTGCAAATTAAAATCGTAAACCGCGTGATTCAAAGTCGATAATTGACGTGACATTTCCTCTGTATTGTTTGAACGTGTAGTTTCCGTGTTTTTCATTCCGAAAATCTTTATATTAATACATATTTTAACAAAAAGAACCATATGTATAATATTATAAAGTCAATAATTTTACTAATCTAACTAATAATATAATCAATTTATACTATACAATCGGCCCGTGTAATTAGCAACTTATTAATAATGATATAATCAATAATAAATTAATCACACAACCGTGTAATCTGTAATCATTTATAATTAACAACTCTTAATCGCTATAATTCCGATCGCCGTATTAAGCATAAATCTGTAATTAATATCAATAGAAATGTTATTGCAAAGTTTACACAAACTTGGTATCGATCCACGTTTTTTACTTTTTCGAATCGCCCTCGCTATTTTAATTTGCGACGCGTCAATTTTTGACCTGCAATTGCGCAATTTAACGATTTTCTTCGTATTTATTTTTCGCGCTTTTTTCTTCGCTTGACGAGAAGCACGTCTCTTTTTCTTTCTTGTGCACGCAAATATTTTAGTTATTCAAAGTTCGTATTTTTCCGAATTATCTTATAAGATGGAATATGTTCTTTTTTAAGCCAAAACTAGATATTTAATCGTAAATAATAATTCGTTCGATCAAATTAATATTTCAATCAATTATTAATAGTAGCAATTTGAAGTACGCCACGCTTGAATCAATGAACCTGCAAAAGTGCGATTGGACAAAGTGATGATCACAAGTAAGATCTCACATAATTTTTTTAAATTCGTCGCGAATGCGGTAAACATCAGGAGTGTCTCGTACAAAGCGATAAACGATTGTCGCGTTAATTAATGTCCGCGTAATTAGTGTTTCCGATCGATTATAATACACTTGAGTGGATACTCGAAGCGAAGTAACGATGTGGAAATGACGCAATGGCTGGTGAGCAAATTTATTCAGTCATCAATTGACTTAGCACATATATTATCTCGGGAAAAAGTCTGCCGTAAATCCGTATTTATTAAAGAAAAATGAAAATCCGTATTTATTAAAGAAAAATGAAAATATGTATTCTGTTGTTCGACATATTTTTGTTCAATCATAAGGATACGATAATAAGAAATTTGGAAATTTTATTCGGAAATTTTCGAACATTAAAAAATTTTGTTAATATTTTTAACTAGATAAATAGTAAAAAATAAAGAACGAGTCAAAATTAAATAATTAATATAATAATTTGTCAGTTGCAAATCGTCATGCAATATAAGATTATTTAATCCTAGAAAATTATATAATTATATTATATGATTAATAGATTTTGCAAATTTTAATGTTTTTTTAATTTGCAGATCGGCACATTCTGCTGAAATTCTGCTTCATCATTTACATTGTTCTACAACAGTATGCTGTATTATTTGGTGAGTTATATTAATTTTTTATTATATCAGATAGCGCTAATAATTAAAAAAATGAATAATTAAAAGGGTTATTTTTTCATAATTGAATTTTAACGCCAGCATTCGGTTATTTCATATCTTATTACCCCACTATTCTTACTTTCATTGTATACTAATAGATTTAATATTATTGCAAAAAAAAAGAAACTAATGTTTTAATGAGTAACTACTTTACGAAGCGTATTACGTAAAGAGTTTCTTAAAATCTCGTTAAATTAAAATGTTGCAAGTGTCAAGTTCAAGCGGCTTTTACGACAGCATTATTCCAACATTCTTTAAGAAATATCTGTTAGATTTACCTGAGATTTTATACTTAGCTGAATTAACTGTTTGCGCTCGGATGATATGAAATTATTATGACATATGTCACAAAGAATCAAAAGTTTACATGTAAAAAAATTATAAAGTTATAATTAAAAAATTATAAAGTTATAAATAAAAGTTATAAAATTACTAATGCAATAAAAATAAATTTACTTCAAATTGTTAAAATTAACTTCGCAATTTAAAAAACTTTCAACAAATTTCACTAAATATACCCAAAAATTTTCCTGCAGCTTCCAAAATATTGAATTAAAATAAAATAATATCAAGCTTAATAATATGACGACATATTATTCCGAGTGCAAAAGCATAAAAAAATAAATTAAAATCAGCAGAAAGAAGAATAGTGTCGTTATAAATAAATTAATATAAATAAAACGCGATATATCACCTCTTGCATTAAGAGATAGATAGAATTATGAGGGAAGAAAAATTGCGGGAATCAAACGAAATGTAAGAAAAAAGAAACGAAGCAAAATTAGCAAAACTAATAGGGAAATGGAACAGAAAAAGTGTTGCTAGAACTCAAACCTACCCTCCGGAATTATTTGTTACTAAGAACATACTGACTGATGGCACTGACCACGTAATCATTAGCGTCGAAGTTGACGTCGCTTTTCTCATCCGACATTGAACTTAATTCGCCGGTCATGGTGTCGCCATTGACGGTGGACGGTGCGTACATATCTGCGGTCTGCGACTTATTAATACCTGCGTAAAGATAACGAGCAGTGAATATGCGAATGGCAGATTAAAGCGCAAATAACAAGACTAGAATCGCACAAAAGATGAAGCTCTATTATTGAAAGAGAGATATAATTCAAATATTTTTTGTTTTTTAATAATTATATTTCGTTTAATATCAATTTTTTAAACATGTAATCATATAATCGATTAAAACCCCTTATAATAATTTGAATATTCATAGCATTAAATTTATAATAGCTCTGCTCACACCAAATCCATATTACACAATCAATGATTGATCAGCTTGATTTAAATATGGATGCAATTTTACGCAACCATTTGATGAGAAATTTTGAAGTTTCAAAATTTGAAACTGAAACAAAAGTCTACTATGCTCATCCTCTGATGTGATCGTAGTCGAACACTGGATTGGTTTGTAGCGTGTTTGTGCAATCGAGCTAAGTTAGAATGAATATCGCGCTAAATATCAATAAGTCGTTAAACTTACGAGCTTTATTTCGCTTTCGTACTATGTACCACAACATGATGAAGACATTAACGATAAAAATGATGACGGAAGTCGCTGCTAATGTATAGATATAATTCATTGGAAAGTCGCCCTTTTCCAAAAGGACGTCCGGCAGGTTTTCCTCTTTATTTGGTCCTAGGAAAATAAAGGAGAGAAAGAGCACGTGATAAATATATTTACCCGTACGCTGGGCCTTCTTTTTCGATTTTACTGTAGCAAAGACTATGGTCGCGGCAATGAGTAGGCAAGCAGAGGTGGAAACAGTGATGATAATGATGATGATGTAGGAGGAACTATTCTCGCTTGATGTCAACTCGGTTGGTGGCGCCTCGCCTGTAACCCAAGCCAATGCCCCATCACCGGTTTATGTTATTCATGCAATGAATGAATCTACATTGTTAGTCAACTTCGAAATCCTCGAAGTTGTGTAATACTGTAATACTGATAATATGGCGGTAATTTATACAAAACTAGCAATTAAGCAGTAGCAACTAGCAACTTGGTTACTTGTTCAATTGTCTGTTGTCCTCTTCTCTCGAAAAGGGCAAACATCAGTAATTCACTGCTTGACTGTCTTCTGTAATCTTTAAACGAGCTTCAACTGCGCGAATAATTGACGATAATTTATGTATTTTAACCTTCAGAATTTTGTTTGTGCTGAGTTTTTCTAATTCATATAACGTAATTGGAGTCTCTTACAAAAATATTATCCAAGAAAAATTTCTAAGCTGATTGTTATGATCGTCGATATGTATGATTCATGCTAAAAATCACTATACCGCGTATGATAATCTATACCCAGTGTCTGCTGTAGATAATTTCAAAATTATCTAGATAAAGATAAAGATAAAAATCCGTAAATTTATCTTAGATGAAATAAAGATGATTTTGCTTTTACTTAATCTCTCTGAAAGAGGAGATAATTATTGCGATAATCTAGATAATTATCTAGAATATTTTGTTTATTTTAAAAGATATAAATATTTGTAAAAAATGTGACGCAGATTATAAATGGGATATTAAAATCATAAACACATATTCTTTCTCTTTTCCTAAAGAATATTTAAATAATAACAAAAAGGTATATATATATATATATATATATAATATATGATAAATATTTATTATTAATTTATATTTATAATATATTAATAATATATTAATAATATAATGATAATATATTTATAATATATAATAATAATCAAAGGATCATTGAAAAAAGTGTAGTCCGACCAAACTAGCCAGAAAATTTGTTAATAAACAATAAATTTGTTTATTAACAAATTTTCTGGCTAGTTTGGTCGACTACACTTTTTTCAATGATCCTTTGATTATTTGACTAGCGACATTAAATTATTTTATAATTATTATAATAATAATATGAAAAATATATTTTAGATATTTTAGATAGATTTTTAGAAGCTAGCCTGGAAAACTTTTTTGCATAATGAAAACGTCATCTTAGACAATCTTTAGATAAAAGACATATATTTTTCATCTAAGATAAAGATAAAGATACTTTGTATTTCTTCACCTGGTTAAAGATAAAGATAATCCATTTCTTTATCTAAGATGATTATCTAGATAATTTTATTTAGATACAAGCAAACAGTGTCTATATTAGATAACAAATGATAATTTTCGTAGATGCTACATTACATAATGTTTAATGCATTTTATTGCAACTAACCCATGATATACATAAATGCCATGCGAACGTTCATGAGACACACTAAACGATCAACCTAATTACTGAGTATGATTAATTATGTGGATGCGGGGCAATCGTGTTTAATTATGTCTCGATGATCTGCATAATGATTTAGCAAGCTGTTATTTTCCATTGTAGCATGAATAACGATGTACTATCTATTTAATGTAAATACTTGGCTTGTAAGGGAAAACTGCTAATATTATTATTTCACAGTCGAAGCGATTTCTA